ACAGGGCATCCATCAAACCAGGTATCTGTGCTCCACAACGCTAGGAACAATTAACAACACCCCCCAAAAAACATTACCCCAAATTAGCAGAAGGTGCTGGGTGTGTGTGCGCGTGTGCGTGTGCGTGTGTGTGTGTGTGTGTGTGTGTGTGTGTGTCCAGTGCACACCTTTTCTTTCTCCAAGTCCCTGCAAGTTTCCCTTCTTGTTTCAGTTCAGTGTCTCAAGGACTTAAGGAGCCCTGGTTGATCATCAAAAAATCAATAGTTCAAATTCACCCACCAGCCACTGCAAAGCTACACAGATGAGGAAACCCATGGGCCTGGGGCCGTTCTACTCTGCCCTACAGGTTCCAAGAGGGAAAACTCACTCACGGACAACGGGCTTAGTTTTCTGGGCTGGTGGATTCGGATTATTTCCCTACAGATACTGCCAACTGGGTGGCTGAGTTGTTTGCAGTGAGAAGAGTTCAAGAGAAAGAGTTCTCCTGGTGACAAAGTGCGCAGCCTACTCATGCTGGTAGTGGAGGAGCTGGGAAGCCAATCCGGCAGGGTGTCTCCAGAGGCCACCTCCTGGTATCACAACCTGTGCAAAGAAAAGCACACTGGCTCCGGCCAGGTCCGTGGAGCCAAAATGGAGGTGAGTAAAAAACTCAAGTTTTCCTCCATCACTGGAAAAGTGTCAATTAAATACTAATTACTGCATTCAGGTGCTAAAAATAACACTGGGGAAAAGAAGAGCAGCCTAACTTTCAAATCTCCCAGGGCATCTGCCATCTTATGATAATCACTTTATCACATTCAGGCAGAATGTGTACATTGTTAGGAGCAAAGTTATATAATAATCGCATCTCATAATGTTGTTCCGTGGGGAATGTTTGCTTAGAAGTAGAATTCAGTACGACGAAGCAATGAAATGGAAGAAAAGGGCAGGGGAAGAAACAACAACACAGAAGCAGGATTAACAGCTTCAGAGTGTCAGGGAGCAAAAAGATACTGCATGTACTGAAAGAAAAGAGCCTCTAGCTTATCAAATTCATTCCTCTGACATGAAAAAAAGGGGGGGGGGG